CAGCCACTGCAGTGTCTATCTGCTGGGCCCAGCTGATCCTTCTGCCTCAGCCTTCCAAGTAGCTGTAACTATAGGCGTGTGCCACCATGCCTTGTAATTTTTTGACTTATTGTAGAGACAAGATCTCGCCAAGTTGCCCAGGCTGGTCTCGAACACCGGGACTCTGGCAATCCTCTTATCTCAGCCTTCCAAAGTGCTTGAATTGCAGGTGTGAGCCACTATGCCCAGCTTGATTACTTAGCATAAATATTCATTTGTGACTTTTTTCTAGTCAAGAGTTAGTGTGGAAAATATGTAAGAATACTAAAATATATGTACATAAAATGGCATGAAGACTTTTATTTCAGACAGTTTTTAAAACCCAGTACATGAAAGTTTAATAGATTGCTTTGAGTAGCTAAAATAGGAATAAGATAATCAGAGGAAATTTTTCTCAGGTTTTTATTTTTTTGAGTTGGAGTCTCACTCTGTCACCCAGACTGGAGTGCAGTGGCCGCTCCCGGCCACCGCAGCCTCGACCTGCTGGGCTCCCGCGATCCTTCCGCCTCAGCCTTCCAAGTAGCTGGAACTACAGGCGGGCGCTACCACACCCAGCTAATTTTTGATTTATTGTAGAGATGAGGGCTCGCCAAGTTGCCCAGGCAGGTCTCGAACCCACGGGCTCAGGCAGTCCACTCACCTCAGCCTCCCAAAGGTGCGGGATTACAGGCTGAGCCACCGAGCCCGGCTTCTCAGGTTTTTCCATACCATCACTGCTTCCCTGATGTACACTAAATTGGACTCTTGCATAATGTGATCCAGAGTTGTTTATCCACTGACAAAATTATAGAACCTGAGCACGCTCTACTAGGTAGTGGAATTGCAGAACAGATTTAGAGATGACCAGTCACTTCATTCTGATTTCCTATGGAACAGTAGGTGCCAGTGATAGCAATAGTTTTTAGTTATTTTACTATTGATACCAGCCTAGGTAACTCTTTTTTAAAAAATTCCTGAATCTTATAATTTGAGACCAGGAGGGATCTATTTCTCCAGACCCCCTCCTTCATCCATGAGAAGGACAAGGGCCTAGGAGTTTAAGGGATTTGCCTATGAACTGTCTCCTGTAACAGGCAGAAGTAGAACTGTTTTCAGATTCCTGACTGGGTTAAGTCAGTTTATTTCATTCTGATCAAATGATTTGGAAACTGCTTGACCTTCCCCAGTTACTATGAACTGTTATTAATCGACTTTTTCCCTGCAAAATTCCCTTCTATTGTGCTTCAAAAGTGAGATAAAACTTGGACAAGCTTGTGGTGGGCATGTGGTAGGCAATGCGTTGGTAACGTTGGTAACTTTGGCTTATTTCTCCCACTACCTGCATCATTTACTATTCACTGAACATCTTAATGAACATTTTATAAATGTTGTCACTGGTTACCATCTATGACAAAGTGGCTCTGAGTTCCCTTTTTTTTTCTTTCTTTTTTTTGAGTCAGGATCTCACTTTGTTACCCAGGCTGGAGTGGCACGATCACAGCTCACCACAGCCTCCCAAGTAGGCTCCTGGGCTCAGGCAATCTTCTCGCCTCAGCCTCCCAAGTAGCTGGGACTACAGGCACACACCACCACGCCCAGCTAATTTTTGTATTTATTGCAGAGGCAAGGTCTTGCTCTATTGCCTAGACTGGGTTCCAACTCTTAGGTTCAAGCAAACCTCCTGCCTAGGCCTCCCAAGGTGCTGGGATTACAGGTGTGAGCCACGATGCTTTGTCTTTTTAAAATTCTTTTGTTCTTGGCCAGTCGCTCATGCCACTGCACTCCATCCTGCATGACACAGTGAGACCCCAACTCAAAACTAAATAAATAACATAAAAATAAACTCACTCTTCTTGATCAAGTATTTAACCTCTGTAATTAGAATAACAAGTGGATAATATAAACAAAATTTCTTTGTAAATGGTGGACTTTTACTTTTATTATGCATTGTGTATTTATTGTTTTTGTCGTTTCTGGCCATGCAGTATTTAAAAGTTACCATTTATTTAATGAATATTATTTTATGATTATAGATGCATTTATTAAAAGCTCTTGCCAAGCTCAGTGGCTCAACCTGTAATCCCAGCACTTTGGGAGGCTGAGGTGAGTGGATTGCCTGAGCCTGCGGGTTCGAGACCACCCCAGGCAAATTGGCGAGACCTCGTCTCTACAATAAATCAAAAAATAGCTGGGCGTGGTAGTGCACGCCGGTAGTTCCAGGTACTTGGAAGACTGAGGCAGAAGGATCGCCGAAGCCCAGCAGGTCAATGCTGGGGTGGCTGTGAGTGTGTCACAGCACTCCAGCCTGGGCGACAGAGTAAGACTCCAACTCAAAAAAAAACAAAAAGCTCTCAGTCACTCATTTTCATCCTTTGGGTAATTCAAAACACCTACAATTTCTTACATGCCTGGTTATCACTTTTTGTCATAAGATGAACGGCATGAGAGACTGGTCCAAATGCTTAGCCTTTTAGAGTTTTATGCTAGCCCATTATATCATTGTGTGATTTTTGTGAAATGCACAATATGGATTTTTTTAGTGAATAGTTTTGTAAACTAGAAATCACTTCCACAGTAGTAAGAAAGAACATTTTTATTCCTTTCTTTATTTTATTTTTTGAGTCGAGTTCTCACTCTGTTGTTCAGGTTGTAGTGCAGTGGCCTGATCATGGTTTACAACAGCCCTGATCTCCTGGACTCAGGTGATCCTCCCACCACAGCCTCCCGAGTAGCTGGGACTACAGGTGTGTGCTACCACACCTGGCTAATTTTTTTTTATTTATTGTAGAGACGAGGTCTCACTGTGTTGCCCAGGCTGTTCTCGAACTCCTGGACTCAGCCTCTCAAATTGCTGGGATTACAGGTGTGAGCCACTGCACCCAGCCTATTTCTTTCTTTCATTAACTTTTTTAAAAGATAATTTTAAATGTTCTACTTTTTTTTTTTTTTTCCTGAGTTGGAGTCTCACTCTGTTGCCCAGACTAGAGTGCAGTGGCTGCTCCTGGCCACCACAGCCTCGACCTGCTGGGCTCCGGCGATCCTTCCACCTCAGCCTTCGAAGTAGCTGGAACTACAGGCACGCGCTACCACACCCGGCTAGTTTTTTTTTTTTTTGATTTGTTGTAGAGATGAGGTCTCACCAAGTTGCCCAGGTGGGTCTTGAACCCGTGGGCTCAGGCAATTCACTCACCTCAGCCTCCCAAGGTGCAGGATTACAGGCTGAGCCATTGAGCCCGGCAAATGTTCTACTTTTAAAAAGTGTTTTCTGTTAACTTCTTTTTCTTTCTGTCTGTCTTTATTTATTTGTTGGTTGATTTATTTATTTGGTTTTTGAGATAGGGTTTTACTCTGATGCTCAGGCTGTAGTACAGTGGCATAATCATGACTCTCTGCAGCCTCAAACTCCTGGGCTCAAGTGATCCTCCTGTCTCAGCCTCCTGAGTAGCTGGGACTACTATTCAATAGGCATAGAAACTCTACTTATCTGTCAAGACCCATCTCAAATTTAGCTCCTTCAGGGAAACTTTTTTAAAGCTTTCAACAGGCATATCTGAGAAGCAGCTTGGTCTAACCAAAATAGATTGCGTTTTAGAGCCTCTCTGGTTGCATGTCACCACACCTGGCTAATTTTCTATTTTTTGTAGTAGAGGTTGAGTTCTCACTTTGTTGCCCAGGCTGATCCTGAACTCCTGGCATCAAGCAATCCTCCTGCTTCGGCCTCTCAAAATGCTGGGATTAATTTTCTGGTAACTTCTGAATAATCTTATAAGCCTTATAATGAGATTTTCATCTAAGCCATGAATTTACTCTTTTCTCAGAAGCTGATTAACTCATAGGTGAATCTCCTTTCCCTACTCCCCAAATTTGTAATCTAGTACAGTATGTCCACAGGGTCACCTTTACATATTCTCTTAATTTTGTTAACACAGGAAATGAATTGGAAATGAGATTTTTTTCTTTTGATCATGCCAAGTTGTTTGGCTTTTTAATTTTGTTGAATTGTATCTTCATGTGATTGCTATTAGCTGTTAACTAGTACTGTAATGTTTATTTGTCTCATTTATTTATTACTTGATTGTTTGCTACATATTCCTCTCCACGTCTAAGCTGTTTTCCTAGGTCAAACCCTTTTGTTACATCTCCCTTGGACCTTTATAATAGTTATTTCCCTTCCCCCATCTGTCCACTTTCTCCATTACTTTTGTAGATTTTTCTATATATCATCTTCAGAATATTCTTTCCAAATCATTAAAATTTAGCTGGGCATGATGGCTCACACCTGTAATCCCGGCACTTTGGGAGGCAGAGGCAAGAGGATTGCTTGAGTCCAGGGGTTTGATACCAGCTTGGACAACTTGGCAAGACCTCATCTCTACAATAAATCAAAAAAATTAACTAGGCTTGGTGGCACGTGCCTATGTTTTCAGTTCCTTGGAAGGCTGAGGTAGAAGGATCACCTGAGTCCAGCAGGTCAAGGTTTTGGTGGCCATTGATCGCACCACTGCATTCCAGCCTGGGCAACAGAGTGAGACTTCAACTCAAAAATAAATGTTTTTTAAGTGGAGTTCTATTAGATGCTACTACGAGTCTCAAGAATCTCAAGTTATAAGAGTGAGAAAAGTGTAATGAGAGCGAAGTATCTAAGTGGTCCTGTGGAGTGTGGCCGTCCACTGCCAGCTTCTGTCTGGATGTCCTAGTAACTCACAGGGGCTTCTGTCTGGATATCCTAGTGACTTATGTGGGCTTCCGTCTGGATGTCCTGGTGACTTGTGGGGTAGAGTGAGGAGTGGCCTGAAGAAGGAAGGTGCCAAGATCTGCTTATAGATCCCAGACTACTCCATGGGGAGGCTTCTGTTTAAAACTTTCTTGAAAAGTAATTTGAAAAGGAAATAATCTCCAGAATATCTTATTGTTCTAAACTAAAGTCTGACATTAGTGATAAAGTGGCATTCTTGACACTCAGACAGATCTTCATGTTTTAGTCAAAGAAGTCTGGCAGAGATCACCGAACTGATCCACACTGCTCTCCTTGTACATCGTGGAATCGTCAATCTCAATGAATTGCAGTCTTCTGATGGACCACTGAAAGACATGCAATTCGGAAATAAAATTGCGATCCTGAGTGGAGACTTTCTTCTAGCAAATGCCTGCAATGGACTAGCTCTGCTACAGAACACCAAGGTAAAAATGGGCCGGGTTTGCTTGGGCCCGTGTGACCCTCAGTTGGCTCCTGGTCAGCTGTTGGAGCCCAGAGGTCTGTGCACCCTGCTGTTCCAACTCCCCTCACGTAGATACCCAGTAAGACTGTGGAAAGATGGTGGTGGCACTGTCAGCATCCAGTAAAATGGAAATGCTGGAAAAGAGCTTTGAAATTGATTTCTATTTTTCTGATTTTTTTTTTTTTGAGTTGGAGTCTCACTGTGTTGCCCAGACTGGAGTGCAGTGCCATACTCATGGTCACCACAGTGTTGACCTGCTAGGCTCATGTGATTGATTCTTCCACCTCAGTCTTCCAAGTAGCTGGAACTACAGGCATGCACCACCATGCCTGTCTAATTTTTCTTGGTTTATTGCAGAGACAACGTCTCACCAAGTTGCCCAGGCTTGTCTCAAACCCCTGGGCTCAAGAATTCTCTCACCTTGGCCTCCCAAAATGCTGGGATCACAGGCCACTGTGCTCAGCCTGTTTTTCTGATTATAGATGAATTATTTGTTAATTTTAGGATAGTATTAAATCTTCCAAATAAACAAGGTATAAATAAATATTCCCTATAATCCCACTACCTAGAGATAATTACTATTAATATTTTGATTATTTCCTTGCAGTCTTTTTCGTCCATTAATACCTTTATATATGTGGATATTTTTCCTGTAATATAGGTGAAAACTTCCTGTGCATGAGGGTTTTTTTCCTTTACTCCTCCTTGTTTTTTCCTACTTCATATTATAGTGAGCATTTTCCCATGTTACTAACATTTGTCATAAACTTTTTAATGACTGTATAATATTTAGTCATTGGGATATAATATCACTTATTTAACAGATTCCTCATTGGACATTTAAATTGCTTATTATTTTTTACTGTCATAAGTAGATCTTCAGTAAACATCTTTGCATATCAATTTTCCTTATTCCAGATTATTTCTTCAAGATTAATACCTAGGCCAGGCATGGTGGCTCACGCCTATAATCCCAGCACTTTGGGAGGCCAAGGTGGGAGGATTGCATGAGCCCAGGAGTTTGACACCAGCCTGGGCAACATAGCAGGTAGAAAGTAGCCTGAGTACGCTCGCTTATCTGTAACTGTTTTATTGTTTGGCAACACTTTGTTTTTATGATAAGCCCTTTTGGCAGCAGTAAGCTCAAAAAAATTAAAAGTATATGTTTTTTTTTTAAAGCATGATTTTTGTTTCTCAAGAAAGTTAATGACGTGGCCGAGCACAGTGGCTCACGCCTATAATCCCAGCACTTTGAGAAGTCAAGGCTGGAGGATTACATGAGCCCAGGAGTTCAAGATTAGCCTGGGCAACAAAGTGAGAGCTCGTCTCTACAAAAAAAAAAAAAAAACTAGGTGTGGTGGCACACGCCTGTAGTCCTAGCTACTAGGGAGGCTGAGGCAGGAGAATTGCCTGAGCCCAGGAAGTTGAGGCTGCAGTGAGCCATGATCGTGCCACTGCCTTCCAGCCTGGGTGACAGAGTGAGATCCTGACTCAAAAAAAAAAGGTTAATGAGGAATGAATAACTTACACAAAATATCACTGACATTTAGTTACCAACATGGAGGCTATAAGACCTTCACCAGCCGGGCTCGGTGGCTCAGCCTGTAATCCCACGCCTTTGGGAGGCTGAGGTGAGTGGATTGTCTGAGCCTGCAGGTTCGAGACCCGCCTGGGCAGCGAGACCTCATCTCTACAATAAATCAAAAAATCAGCCTGGCGTAGTAGCACATGCCTGTAATTCTGGCTACTCGGAAGGCTGAGGCGGAAGGATTGCCGGAGCCCAGCAGGTCGAGGCTGCGGTGGCCGGGAGCGGCCACTACACTCCAGTCTGGGCAACAGAGTGAGACTCCAACTCAAAAAAAAAAAAGACCTTCACTAGCCACATGAAAACAAGAAGAGGCAAATTTGCTGAAAAAGTGTCAAAACCTACTTTATGCAGCTGCAGAAGGTGTATGTATGTATCACCGTGTAATGTACATCTTTTATTAGATAAGTGACCATTCTTCTAAGTTACTTTTACTAATTTCAATGACAAGCTTTGATATGCACCTAGAAGAAGGGAAGCCCTAGTTTTTATGTTTGTTGGCTCCATTGGCAGAACTTAGCAAAGAGTTAAATTCAGTTTAAGTTCAGGGTCATCAGGGACTTAAGATAATTATATACATCAAATGAATTCTAAAAATTGTTTGTTTTTTCTTTCCATCCATTCATGGGATCATGGTAAAGCTTTTGGAAATATATTCTATCAAGAGTAGTAAAGCCTTTGTGCGAGAGACTAGATATTCAGTTTAAAAGTTCATGAAGATAAAATTATTATGATTATTATTATTACATATTTTTTGAGTCAGAGTCTCACTCTGTCACCCAGGCTGGAGTACAGTACCACACTCGCGGCCACCGCAGCCTCAACCTGCTGGGCTCAGGCGATCCTTCCGCCTCAGCCTTCCAAGTAAGTGGAACTACAGGCATGCGACACCACGTCCGGTCATCTTTTCTTGATTTATTGTAGAGATGAAGTCTCACCAAGTTGCCTGCACTGGTCTCAAACCTGTGGGCTCAGGCAGTCTTCTCAAAGTGCTGGGATTATAGGTGTGAGCCACCGCATCCGGCCTGGAAATCTTAAATCAACTGTTCAACAATGGAATACCAAAGGAGACTTTTGGAGAATTACATAATGAAAACAAAGCTTCCATTAGAATTTTTCCATACAAAAGTGAGGAAGAAACAAAATAGATAGCGATACCTCCAAGGATATAAGATTAAGTGTTCAGTTTTATAGTTGTAATTTGCAGTGCCTCACCTTGCAGGAAGAATCTTTTGGTAGTGTTCCTACTTGGAATAAACTGTACACATACACACACACACGAATGAAATGAGATTGAAAAGTTCCAGATTTTGCAGCATCTGAATTTGGCAAACATCAAAATAGCCATAGAGACCATCTATTTGACAATTTTTGTTTTATCAAAATATTTGTTTTTGTTTTTTTAAAGTTTTCCTGGCTACAAGTTGTTCCACACAAAATAAACCCCTCTAATGTTACTGAGGCAACTGACCATATCCACAACCAAATCCTCCTCTAAACTGGAATTGGGTTGTGACCCAGCCCCAGCCTCAGCTTTCTCGTTGGCCCTCAGGGGCACAGCTTTCTGTCTGCAGGTGTCTCTGTCAGCTTCCTTTCTTGGGAGTCTTGCAGGTTGCTCACCCTCCAGACCTTTGAGCCAAGGTCTGCCAGTGTCTGGATGCTGCAAGACAGGGTGGCTGGCACACTCTCGGGGTGCAGGCGGAGGTAATCACATAGATACCGGATACACTCATTGGTTAGGTATTGGTAGAGATGTCTCCAGGTACACTGTTCCTTTACTAGCCTCGAGACCTAAGAGACTGCATGGCCTTCATGACGTGAAGGTTGGGCACATTCTTGTCAGCCAGTTCCAGGTGCTCAGGCATATGGATATCCTCCTTGGCCACCATCACTACCTCCTTAAAAAGGTGTTCATATGTGGCAATCCAGCTCTTCTTGGACAGCAACATCATGGCAGCTGCAGAGTCCAGGGCCGAGGCTGGAAAAGCTAAAATATTTGTTTAAGAAAGGTACTCTCAGCTGGGCTCGGTGGCTCAGCCTGTAATCCCGTGCCTTTGGGAGGCTGAGGTGAGTGGATTGCCTGAGCCTGTGGGTTCGAGACCCGCCTGGGCAACGAGACCTCATCTCTACAATAAATCAAAAAAAAACCAGCCGGGCGTGGTAGCGCATGCCTGTAATTCCGGCTACTTGGAAGGCTGAGGCAGAAGGATCGCCAGAGGCCAGCAGGTCGAGGCTGCAGTGGCTGGGAGCGGCCACTGCACTCCAGTCTGGGCAACAGAGTGAGACTCCAACTCAAAAAAAAAAGAAAAAAAAAGAAAGGTACTCTCAAGCCGGGCTCGGTGGCTCAGCCTGTAATCCCACGCCTTTGGGAGGCTGAGGTGAGTGGATTGCCTGAGCCTGCGGGTTCGAGACCCGCCTGGGCAGGGGAGACCTCATCTCTACCATAAATTAAAAAAAAATGAGCCGGGCGTGGTAGCACGCACCTGTAGTTCCAGCTACTCGGAAGACTGGGGTGGAAGGATCGCTGGAGCCCAGCAGGTCGAGGCTGCGGTGGCCAGGAGCAGCCACTGCACTCCAGTCTGGGCGACAGTGAGACTCCAACTCAAAAAAAAAAAAAAAAAGAAGAAGGTACTCTCTATTGGCAGTAGCAGTAGTGGGAAATTGCCAGGGGAAGGTGGCGGTGGGACTGGCAGTTGTGGAAAACTGCTAGGGGCGGGGGGAGCACACCTCATCAACAAGAGTACCTGCATAATGAATATTTGTATGCCTAACCTTGAACTGTACCCCACATCTTTAAAATTAAAAATGAAAAATAAAAGAAAGATACTCTGATGGAGGCTAAAAGATGGTGTCTATAAAAATATTAGAACTGGAATATTTATACAGTTCAATATTTTAGAAATGAGAATTATGTCCTCCATTTAGCAAATTTACTCTGAACTTATCAGGTAACTCAGAACCTGTAAGAAAGAGCATTTTCTCAATTTAAAATATTGTGGTCTATCAAGGAGAAATAATTGAAGGTATCAATAATTTCAACCTAATTCACGATAAAATGCACTTGTAAAGAATATTGCTGGCAGTTTTATTTTAAAATGCCATATTTAAAAAATAGATTCTGCCAGGCTCGGTGGCTCAGCCTGTAATCCCGCGCCTTTGGGAGGCTGAGGTGAGAGGATTGCCTTTGCCCGCGGGTTCGAGACCCGCCTGGGCAGTGAGACCTCATCTCTACAATAAATCAAAAAATCAGCTGGGCGTGGTAGCGCATGCCTGTAATTCCGGCTACTTGGAAGGCTGAGGCGGAAGGATCGCCGGAGCCCAGCAGGTCGAGGCTGCGGTGGCCGGAAGCAGCCACTGCACTCCAGTCTGGGCGATAG